CGTGATTTCTAAGGCTGAAATGATGTAACTGTGCAGCTGACATAAAGCTGTGTCTTAGAAGAGATACAAATGATAAATCACTATGAAACAAATGACCTTTTCTTAACAAAATATCCTATGAATTCTTAAGCTGTAACAACGGATAAGATCCCAAAGGAAAAGACAGGATAGAAGTCATCGATGTGTCAGAAATTAAATACTAAAGCAACTTTCTGTCACAGGGAGTTTCAGTTAATGTAGCTTTTTAGCCTCTCTAGGACCCAGTTTTTCCCAACAAGACTATGAAATAAGCATCTCTGGAGTCAGCTGAACACACAGTGCAAGGTCACAGCCTCGTACCTTCTGTTCTGACATGAAGCCCAGAGCTATTCTCCAAGTTTCTCCTCACAGTAAGTGTTGTTCTAATCCATCACTAGCAGAGGCAAAACATAAACCTTCCCAGGATGATTGTAGCTTTACATGCTTTTAGTATTTCACATAAAAATTTTAGTCTTTACGAAATTCTTTCTTACTTCCCATATCTGGAAAGAAACTAATATTAAAATATCCATCACATTCCTCACTTTCCTTATGCACTGTTTAGGTTAGTTGTTCAGGTTTTGTAGGAATGTGGTTGGTATGGATCCATCCTGTGATTATTTCCAACATGTTGACAACTCTGCTTTTGCTATTGTTGAAATGGTGTGTGCCTTATCTTACAGTCAGAGAGCACATCCCATTCCTGCATGTTATGTTAGCTTTCCTCTAAACTCCAAATGCTGCCATTTTTAAAGGCATTTTATTCAGTTGGGAAAAAAATAATAAAAAGGACTGCACAAGTATGTCAAAGGTCTGTAGCCTTCTCATATTTGTATTGATATCTGGGATATTTCATTTGTGGAAACCTCCCTTCATTTCAGCCAAGTTCCACCACAGAACTTCTGGCAAAAAGGGAAGAAAAAGGAACCAGATTTAGGTGGTCCATGCACACTATACATGAGGCTATGTGTGCCACAAGTGGTGAGAAATTAATGCTCCTATACAGGTCTGTTCAGGTTATGGGACAAAATGGTACGGGATCATACGATCCAAATTTATTTCTTCAGTATCAGTACATTGTGTTGATGAGTTTTTCAGTTAGGACAGGGTTTTGAAAAATCTTAACTGCTGCAATGCATGTTCCTTTTATCTCATGCTCATCACTAGACCGTGAGATTCTTGGATGTTCATGACACAAGGGCTCTTTGCTCCCTCAGAATTCATTTTAGATGAAGCCATTAGATCTCACAGTTGCAGTTTAATGTAGGGATTTTAGGTCATCTCAGAACTTACCCTTTTCCAAGAACGGTTTTAATCTTTGTTCAGTACTTGAATATGCTTCTTATAATTATGTTTCAAGTGATATTGCAGCTATATTTCAGATTTTACGTATGTAGGAAAATGCTATATTATTTTAATACTGATGGCAGAATAAAAATCTATTCAATATTCACCTTTCAGGAAGCACAATCAAATATCCAAGAACACTATTAGACTTGCCTAGCATAAAGTTTCAAACTGCTAATGGATTTTAAATTGATGTCATAATGCTGCAATTTAAATACATGATGTTCATTAATTTTGCCAGAACTCTTTGTAGAGTAGGAGTGGTATGAAAGAAGGAGGAAGGTTATATTTTCTCTACCTGCTTCTTTTTATCTCCTTGCCCATTTTTGATACACAAAAAGAATCATTACATCAGCTTGCGGTGTGGGGTGAATTTTACTCAAATGACAATAGGTTTCAATTGGTTAACCCCTGTGGAGTTGTATCAAATTAATATTTTCTATGCAAAAAAAAAAAATACCAGGAATAGGATAAAAGTAACTAACACATGATAGGCGTGACATTTCCTAAAGGTGGATTTCATGGGACCTACCACCAAAAATCCATGGGCACAAAGTGGAGGAAATGAGGGACAGAAAGGTCATCTTGCTCATACACCTCCTTTTCACTGAAAGGTCAGAATTCCTGTATTGAGCAAGAGGGCAATACAGACTACCACAAATCTCAAGGAGTCCCCTCAGACGTGGCCACTGAAAAGGGAAAAGAGGTCACATCGTGGAGGGATGTGCTGTGGGATCCTCTTCTACCGAGGGGAGTGAGGGCAGGTCCTGGATGCAAATTTTCTAGGTGAAGAATCCTCTGTTTCAGAAATATCTCAAAAGTGAAACTAAGGTTTGTCTAGACATAATGGCCCAGTATAGTACAACACTTCACATCTATTTATATTTCAAATATAGTATGTTTACTGTACATAAAGTCAGTTTTTCTACAGCTGTTGCTATAGTTACAAATCAAGGAAACCATAGCAACAACCCTGTGTTATGTACAGCCTTAATTATGTCTCTCTTTGCATTTTATATTAAATACTCCCATGCAATCTAGTTATAGTAATCTTGTATTTTTTCAGATTTTTTTAATAATAAAAATTCCCCAACATTATACTGTCAAATCAAACACACAACACCCTTAAAATATGTCTTTACAGTACTATTCTGACCATATCTAATAACAGCCACATCACTGAGATAAACACTAATGTTCATATTATCATTTACAAATGATTGATCACTTTAGCTTTAACCACCAATTAACTGGTTTTCCATAATTTCATAAAGTTTTTCAAGTCCCATCCCATTCAGCCTTACCCCAAAAGAAACCAGCTCCTCCTAACTTCAACTTTTTTTTCCTATGGATTAAACTTTTGGGTTTTTTTTTTTCCCTTTGGTTTGGTTCTCCTTTTTCTTCACAAAGTAAGTATGCAATAGAGGGACAGGAAAGGCAGAGTAGTAGTTCATCTAGATTTTCTATCTTCCCTCTAACATCCTTCAGATGACTGACAGGATTCAAAGGAAAATATGAACACACTCAAGAGGTGTAAAAGGATTTTGCCATTAAAAAAGAAAAGAATATGCCAAAATCCGTGTCTTTAAAAGCCTCCTCTCCTATCTTCCCTCCCATCACTTTATTTTCTGATCATTCACTACTGTATAATTTCCTCACCATTTGGTCCTTGCCCATTGATGAGATGGCAATTGTCCCATTTTGCAAAAAACTTGGCCACATTTGTTTGGGGCATTAGCTGCACTCATGGAGTGGCCCTTCTGTTATCTTCTATACTATAGAAGCACAAAACCCCCTTAAAAAATATCATCTTAATCCCATGAAATGAGCAGACATTCAACGTATTTGACACGAGAAAGAAATGAGAAATCTGTGGGTTTAATCTCTACGAACAACTGATAATTGCTGGCCATTTTAATACAAATAATACACAAGTGCTTATTTTCCAAAGCAATCTGTATTTCAAAAATCACGGTCTGAGAAAGCCACGAGTGTGTGTGAGGAACAAGAGCTGCCTACATGGGCAGCACAACAAAACTTCCCTCGCACGGGGAATAATTAAGTCGGGAGTCAGTGCATTCACAACAAGCTAGCCGTGTTCAGTTTCTTCATTATCATTTTAATTAGCAAATATTAATGTAATCTGCAAATACAAGAGGGAAAACAATTAAAATTACCAAGTTTAAGGAGTCCTTCATGACCTAAGCTAAATTGAGACAAATGTCTTACTAATCGATACCCGTCACCAACTTTCAGGACATTCATTTCCATTTACTGTTAGAACTTCCAAGCGTGTTATCAAATTTAAGAACGAATTAAGGGCTCTCACGAGCTCCTTCTAACCTCTGATGAAGGCAATGGTGGATAAAAATGGATTAGCATGCTCCTCTCCTCTCCAGTTATCAGTTCAGACTGATAGTGATCAAGTGACCGTGGCAGCTCTGCCTCATTCAGATTCCATGGCAGCCACCGTGGCAATAACCCAGGGACATGCAGAACACACTGTCCTCTCATTTCTAGAGGCATGAAGATGCTGGAAGAAGCCTTAAAGAAGCCTTTTGAACTCAACAGCACCTCCCATTCCTTTCACTGAGACTACGATTCACACCCAGACAGTTTTCCTTCCTGGGAAAGGACAAGGTGTTTGTCCTTCTTCTTTATAGATAATGTACTTGGGCCCCCAATATACTCAGTGCTGCATCTTACATGGACAACAATTAAAAGCCACAGAAGTTTAAAAGAAGATGCCTCCTAAACACAATATCTCTCTCTCATTTTGATTTTCATATTTAACCCACTAAAGGTAGAATAATGACTAATTTGCCCAATACACCTACAGGACTAAACATCATGAAGTGGTAAAGTATTTTCATCCTCTATAAAAGCTGTTGTGTGAGTGAATTTCATTCATAAATAACTGCAATTTTATAAAGAAAAATAAATGGCAGTAGGTAGAAGTCTGATAGTATTTCTCAGACAGTTTAAAGCAGGAGTCCCTATAAAACCTAATTTCATCACACAATTTTTTTTTTTATACACAGAGCAAGTATTTTGCAAAGCAGATACAGGTCAATGCATTTTAAAGTACAGAATGGAAATAGATACCTGGGGCTTTGAAATAGCTACCATGTGTTAATACAATAGTTGCAGAAAAATCTAGTAAACCTCTATCTTTATACATTTTCTACACTCACATATGTTCATTTCCCAAATCCGTCCCTTTTCCTCTTCCATGCCCATACAAACACAAATAAACTACTCCTTCCTTGGGAATCCCAGGCAAAATTAAACATTTTAAGGACTTTATTACAACAAACACAAGAGAAGCTCCTTTGAGTTATATGGATTGAAATTGAAATTAATCTGAAAAATGTTTTTCCTTGTTTAAATATCCACTTTCACTGCAATCAAGTGTGACTTTGAGGCCAACTCACTGCTCTCCCCACTGCAGACATGACAGAAATTTTTAAAAAATTTCATTTAAGTGGTAGCACACTTCTAAAATAACCACTCTGCTCAGAAACACTGCTGGCTTCAGCTTTCACACTGGGCAGGTTGGTAGAAAAGCCTTATATGGGATCAGAGAAAAGAAATCTACTGGTCCATTTTGCTGTGTTCTTGATGCCAGGTCTTACCTCTTGTGTTTTTACATTTATATATCCATAATGAGTTCTCAGAGGATGCCTCTGGCCATTGGAAAATGGGATCCACTTGACACTGGTTTGTCCAAAGCAGTTTAGGATCAAAGGGAAAGTTACTTCATTTGTGAGGCGGATGATGATCAGGCAGAGGAATGCTGCAACGAAACTCACAGCAACAATGGACTTCCTCTGTAATGAAAAGAAGAAAGGAAATAAATTATTAAAATTAAGAGTCAGTTTTAATAAAAAATACACATCTTCTACTGTAGGATGAAGGAAAAGCACTTGAGAAAGCTTTATGTGAAATTATTCCTCTGGTAGTCACCTTGCTGTAGGAGCACAAGGAGACAGATGACTGGACCGTTTTACTTCAACAAATTTGCATTTCAGAGGTTTTGAGAGTTTCTTTTAGAACTGGTTGGAAATGAGTCCATTTTGCTCACCAAAAAAAAAAAAAAAGGTTTTTTTTTTAAGTTTCAAAAAACATCCATCAACTTCAAATTTTATTTGCATTTGAAATTAAGATTTTATGTAAACATCCACACCAAAGTCTCCGTTCCAAATCATCAGCGCTCTAGACATGACAAATACACAAAGGGAAAATGCCACCCACAGCAGCACCACACAAAGTTTATTGGGAAGACTACTGATGGTACTTACTGTGCACTAATTTTAAACCATTCCATGCAACAGAACTCATACTCTAAATATTTTAGAAAAACAGTTGGCGAAGTCAGCATCCCATTCTGCCTTATTCCAGGTTCATGAATTTACAGAGTGAGGCATCATTATCTCGGACAGGATGAGCTCCATTGTTAATAATGTAACAGACCCCAAGCCTGTATCTGTTTAGCTTTTGCCTTCTACCTCTAACCCATCCACTTGGCTGGACTGGTGAATGCAACCACAGAAAGATCCCAGCTTGTTCCTTGGGTAGCTCCCCAGTATGCAGGAAAAGAACTTGTAAGAAATAGGATGTTCTTCTAATTTTTAGTTTTTTTTTTTTAAATACTGCGGTCAATTACTTCTAGACAAATTACTTAAGGATAAAACACGTTAGCTGGCATGTGTAAAGATTCTAGATATGAGACTCCATGAAAAAGATCATTTTTACATTTTCCCTGAGGGAATGAAACCATTTTCATTTACAGGTGTTTTTACTGTACTTTAATTACATTCCAGATTTACCTAATTTGCCACAGTATAATTACCCTACTGAATGCAATGCTATCCCTCTATACAGTAAAATATACAGAAAATAGAGGGGGAAATTATTATTTGCCTAAGGGCCTAGATAAGTGTATAATAACACTCAGTGCTGGATGACAGAACCTGATCACCCCAATTCCCACCTACAAATACCACCGACAAAGCAGCTCAGTCCACATTTAAGACCACTTTTTTACATGACAGCAATAAGATCACACGTGCTGGAATGGTGATGGAGGGGTGAAAGGCAAACTCTGAGCAAAACCATGTAAGATGAACGTGTTCTTTGCCTGGAGGTTCATTTGACAGTCTGCAGACACTAAAATTCAAAATGCTGCGCAGAAGAAACGACGATATTTACACACAGGTCATACTGGGACAGACAGAGACAAAGTTTCATTGAACATGAGCACACAAGACCTGTGTCCTCACACAAGGACTGTAGGCACTGCTGCCATGCTTTGGTTCTGTTTCTGGACACAGACAACAGTGAAGAATTACAGAATCAACTGGGTTGGAAAAGACCTCCAAAATCATCAAGTCCAACCCTTGATCCAACCCTGCTGTGGTTCCCAGCCCATGGCACTGATGCCACATCCAGTCTCATCTTAAAAACCTCCAGGGATGGGGAATCCACGACCTCCCTGGGCAGCCCATTCCAATATCTGATCACTCCCTCTGTAAAAAAATTTCTTCCCAATATCCAATCTAAACCTCCCCTGGCACAGCTTGAGACCGAGCCCTCTTGTCCTACTGCTGGTTCCTGGGAGAAGAGACCAACTCCCTCCTCTCAGGGAGTTGTAGAGAGTGCTGAGGTCTCCCCTGAGCCTCCTCTTCTCCAGGCTCAACAACCCCAGCTCCCCCAGCCTCTCCTCACAGCACTTGTGCTCCAGTCCCTTCCCCAGCCTCATTGCTCTTCTCTCGACCCGCTCCAGCACCTCAATGTCTTTCCTGAACTGAGGGCCCCAAAAATGAACACAATACTCAAGGTGTGGCCTCACCAGTGCTGAGCACAGGGCAAGAATCACTTCCCTGGTCCTGCTGCCACACTGTGCCTGATCCAGGCCAGGATCCATTGGCCTTCTTGGCCACCTGGGCACGCTCTGGGTCATGTTCAGAATGGCAAAGAACACCAGGTAATTTTGAAGGGATGTTACTGTATCCTCCCACACAAGAGTTAACAAAACAGTCCATTACAGGGGGTCAATTGCACCGCTCAATGTTTCGATGCATCAGGAGGCTACAATTTGTAAGATAAAAGCAATGAGAGACCGGGATGAAAAACTTGGGTGAGCGAGGTCACTGCGAGGAGAAAAGGAAGAGGAGGATGAAGAAGCATTGTGGCAACGTGATTCAGTGAGGCATCTCAGCCAACTAATGGCTGTGCAATGTAAAATTAAACCCAGCAAATCTTCAGAGGGCAGCGCAGCAGCCACAGCCCAATTGCAGCTTCCAGAATTCATGGAAGCCCCTGCACTTTTCATCATCTGCATTATAACAGATTTACATTAAATTGCAATAAACTGGCTGGGGAGCACTTCTGTGTCACTTCTCTTTGTACCAGATGGAGTCAGAAACATTTAGCTATATATCAGAGCCTTGTAAGTGCTAAGAGCAGCCAAGATGTGCAGCGCAAGTGATAATCATAAAGCAATGAGAAGGAGCAGGGATTAGTCATATTATTTATTGCAAATCAGAATTAAAATATTGCAAATATTTAAAGGGGGGATCTAGAGTCTCATTCCGCTACATGAGCATGTTTCAATCAAAACATCCACAGCAGGAAGCAGGATTACTGCCCTGTATGATGCTACTACCTCATTTCCACATATCCCATCTTCCTGGTTTATTGAACAGCACCTTTCACTTCCTTTATTTTGTGCAGATCTGTTCTGAACTTGAAAACACTGCAATCATCTTTATGTGCTTCTCAGAGGGAGCTGTTCTAAATAGCCTTTGCCCTGAGAAGAATTCAGATTGTGTAGCTAGATTTCTTGGCCTTCATGAGGATGCCACTTTAAATACCCTGTACTACTAGATGAAAGAAAAAAACATGGTCTTCTTTTTTTGTTTGTTTGTTTGTTTGGGGTTTTTTATGTAAGAAAATATTATTTGAAAAGGCAAACAGCAAAGATTTTTCTTTGTGTGTTGCTCAGGCAGAAAGAATCTGCACTAACGAGAACAATCCAATGAAAGAAATGAATTTTTACAACAGAAAGGAATTTCGGCATCTGTTAAAATTGTTTTGGGAAAAAAAAAATCTTGCCATATGCAAACACAACGATTACTTATCAACTTGTAAAAAGGAAGTTTGTGTTAAGTATTGAGTTCCCCTATAATTTTTGTTGAAGGCATGAGCTCCAACAACATGCACTCTCTGTGGGAAAGATTACTGCAAATTGGTATTTCGGTGGCTTTTTAAATTTCACTGTAAAAATATTGAAAAACACCAAAGCACATACTTTTCGTAATTTTAGCCCTCCTAAGCATCAAGTACAGCAGTCTGCTCAGTGGCCAAGAGGCACTTCTGAAAGTAATTTGTTTCCCTTAAGTTCCTCCCTCCTTTATCTCCTCATTAAAAATATATATATATATATATAAATAAACAAACCAAAAAACAACATACAAACCCAAAGCCAGGTGCTATTTGTCATTAAGTGCTTCTTATAAAATTTTCTGTTCTGCAGGTAAATGGATTTTTTTATCAGTCCTCTGATAAAACCTACAATTTAGCATTTGAGGTTCCAGGAATTCTACATGACATCAGGATATGACAAAGAAGTCTGAAGCTGTATACAGTGATGAATAACAAAGCGTACTTTGTCTCAAAATTTGTCTGCATCAACATTTTAAATACTTACACATTGTACCATTTGAGAGAGCTAAACCAACGCTCATTAGCAAGCCTGCACAGAAACAAGTCTTATTCCTTCTTAATTTTCAGTTCTCATGAATGCAAACAGTCTATTAACAAAAGAACTGTTTCTCTAACATGGAAATATATAAAGCTCAATCACTCTTTATATTTTTCCAGCTAATTTAATGTAGATATTTTGGTATTGACAACATTTACATAAAAAATACATACTCAGCGAAGAGTACACAATAAGACATATGTTAAAGAGTTTCTTAGCTGGGTGACTTGCATGGTATATTAGCTTTTGTAACATTTTATTTCACTCACTACAGTACATGACAAGCCCAGATGACAGCAGCGAGAAAAAAATCACCAATTTATGAACACAGGATCCTACAGCAGAAGAGTGAAGGAGTTGTGTTAATTAGACTAGGTACTAGCTCATTCATGGTTTAAAAAAAAAAAAAGAGAATAAGGTGGTAGAAGTGGACACACAAGATCAGAATACATGTATTGCAATACCTGGGACCTCGCTGGGCCAAAAGCACACACTGGAACCAAACAGTTGTTTCTTTTAACTCTTTTTACTCAATCCTCACAATAACATCGTCTCAGTTTTGGTTTCAGTTATTTCTCAGACACCAAGCTCACGCTGTCTGGTATGTATATCAAAATCAATAAGCAGTAGGCATGATTCACACTTCTAAGGCTTCAGTTTATATCTCTGTTGTTAAAATAAGGATTGAAATAAACCCAGGAAGTTTCATATTACTATGCTGGTTAGGATTTAATTAAAAACACCATAGAAATAAAACAATAACAGTACTTTTATGGGTATAAATATATATATTTGGCAACATGGTCCCTAATACTATTTATAACCTTCATATCATCTAGTTTTGGCTATTTACCAGTGCCAGGGTGATTCATTAGCTTCAGTTTGGCAGGAACTTGACAGTCTGAACAAGTTTTAGTCATTTTTCTTTCATAATCTGTTAAGAAGCGCGAGATGACAAGCTAATTTTTTACAGTTCAATAATGCCTGATAGAATAATACGATACAAACATTTTTCTGGTGTTGTATACAGATGTCTGGGAGGGAGGGAGGAAGGAAACATTCCCA